TCATCTGTATCATAATGATTATAGTAAAGGTTTAACAGAGAGGTTAATTACTTATTATTATTTTAATATCACATCTTTGTAAAGTCTATTATTTTTTTTAGGTTTCCTTTTCTTGATATGAGAAAGAAATACATGGTTCCAAAATTTAAGAATTCAACAAGTGACCACCGGAATACCTTTTTATGATAATGGACATTTTTATTATAGACCTCAGGGGAGGAAAATATTAAAGAAAAATGCAATTTCGACGAAAGAAGTATAATAATCAATCCTGTCACTACTTCTACACTATATTCATCTGCTACTAAAATACTAAAACAGCAAGTAAGTAGAGAAACTTAAGTTTATTTCAAAAAGAATGTTTAAGGAAAAAGGCATAGCCATTTTTTTGTTGACACTTTTTTTTAACTAATCTAAAAGACTAATTTTGTGTATTGTTTAAATGTTCATTTTTTGTACTTAATTTGTTTTAGGTTTAAACAAAATGAACTTCTAAGATATGCATGGAATATCCCAAAAGAGCTAAGGAAGGTTTTAAAATTCTTAAGAAAACTATTCAGAGCCAAAAACATAAAATAGTCTTCCTGTCCAAAATATAAATAGGTATAAATATTTAGATATTATGAGTGATTTTTTATTCTATAAATAGAACATAATTTGCTTCTAAATCACTACCTAATGAACTATATTATATAGTACAAAACTAAACAAGAATATCACATTATTCAGGTTTTTTTTAATTTCCTTAAAAACGTCCCAAAAAAATGTGAATATTTATTATTGGAGTTTACATCGTTATGCTAAAACAATACTAGAATAACTTAAATAATGTGGATTTTGACTATTTTGAGTTATGCAGATCATAATGATCTAAAAAAATGTTTGTCTGGTGCTATAGTCAGGTATAAAAACATTCATTTATTTAAATACAGTTGCAATGTACATTTTATTTAGTTTTTAAGTTAAAACCTTTTAGGACATCAATTATTCTACATTTTTGTTGGCGAAATAGGATATATTAAGATGTCTTACTGTTTTCTCTGATTATCTAAAAAGTTAGAACAACATACAAAGACTGTTATAACAAGAAAGAGATATACCTTTACTTAAACACACAATTAGTCAGTTCATTTGTACGGCAATTTAAAGCAGAAATCCAGAAAACTTTAAAAACGTGTTTAAATGTGTTTTTACTATAACAAGGACATAATTATTAAAAAAAACTTGGCACATTAACATTGACGATAGGTTTTTATAATATATATTATACAAATCACAACGAACTACACAAAATGACATTATTAATAATTTAACAATAAAAAAGTTAAGTACAATGATGACATTAAAAGTTGAGTTTCTCGAAATAATTTTTTTAAATTGTCTCAGTACCTACCTAGTATTTTTCTAGCACAATGATATATGAATGTGCATTGTGTGATATCTTATATTTTAGGAATAAAATGATATATTTTTTTGCAGGTTTCTGTTAACAACGATTCCAAGAACTTTTGAAAATATTATTAAAACGGCCTTTGCAAATATAATTCTCAATTAAGAGCTTCTGATCTAACATTAAATTTTTATTCTCCATAAGGTTACAGCTTCCTAAGAAGAAAGTTTAACAAGACTTACCAGACCCAAAATATCAAAGTTTTACTAACCAATTGATGGTTCTACTGGTTTCCATAAGAAAATTCTCCTCGAAACTACTAAAAGAAAAGTGACAGAGGCAACCGAAGAAGGCAAAAAAGTCTTTTGCAAAACAAAAAATAGAAATTTGTTTAAGAATCTAATTATTGTTTGAAGTTTTACCATTAATAATTTTTGATAAGATTTAAGATTATGAAGTTCTATTATGTATTTTATTTACTCTTTGATAACCTATGTTTAAATTTTTATTAGGACCAAAATAAATTATAATTTTCATTTCAACTACAAAAACCCTCATAATATTAAAAAGGGGGAAAACGTTAGATTAGTTATGTTCAGGAATAAACTCTTTAAACTTTAATCTACTTAAAATGTGTTACTTTTAGAAGGTATGTTATTAACTTTCTATTTGTACTTGTATTAATTTATTTCATTTTATTATCTGTTATATCTTCAAATTAATTTTGATATTAATCTTATCTATTTATATATTTTTTATATTCACATATATGTTTTTTTCAGTGAAACAAACGTTTATTAGCTTATTAAATATAATGAATTCATGTTGTTTTATTATATGCTTGTATAAATGATTACTTTTATTTCCTTTTAAAAATGAATTTCGAAAATAAAGCCGAAACGGTGAGTGAGAATAAAAAATTAGACGAAAGTGACGATATTTACTGGAGCTTTCATCTACATGCTCCTTTTTCTAGCCATCTACACCTGAGCCAGCAAGATTCGTCTTCCCCCCATCCTTAAATTCTCCAGATTTACAGAGAAAACGCCGTCCTCCTTAACTTATCCAGACCTTCTTTGACGGGGACTATACCACTGCATTATCAGCTTTATTTGTTATCCCGAGCAATTTAAATACATTCGTAATTGCTCATTCTCACCTCTTCTCTTGTAGATTCCGTACTCAGTTTTCTTATTTTTAGTTACGTTTGCACTGCTCTTTTATTTTCACAGCTTTAATTTTATAATGCTGTAACGCTACAATATGGATCCATTTTTGTGGTTTATATTATTTAATGTTATTCGTAATTGACCAACCTATTATAATAATTAAATATTACTGTATTACAGGCCTGAAGATGTTCCTGTAAGGCCGAAACTAGTCGCTCCTGTATTTATTTATAATAAAATTGATTTTAAGGTTTTATTCTTCAATTGAAAAAATTAGACCTTTACAGTGATTTTGTTTCATTTCCTGCATTAAACACATATAAGACGGTATTCATTTTAAAAATAGTAAAACTAGCAAATTTTTTTAGTTTTTTTTACAATTAAAACGTTTGGACAATGTGTGTTTTTATAGATAAATGATACGCCACTGAACAAGAAGGATGTTTACCTTCCCCCTTGTGCCCGCTTCCTCACTTCCTTCACAGATGTTGCTAACACAACAATCGCCTACAACCTCGTTTTCACGCTCCCTCTATTAGTAATTGCTCGGAGGCTTCGATCACGAGTTGATTTCGTGTGTATACAGGGTCGGATTAGGAATTCATGACAGTATTTAACAATCAACAAAATTAAAAATTAAGATTCTAACTAAGACCGTCTTACTATAAGAAATGGATAGATTTATTATTTATTTTTTTCAAAAACCAATCATTAAAAAACGTTTTAATCCATCTGAAAGATGCCATTTAACAGTATTTAATCCTGGCTTTCAAATAAGAAAAATAAATAGTAAAACCTGTGTTTCGCTTAGACACAACCTAACCTAGAACCAATAATAGTTTAAGTTTACCTTTAAATTCTTTGAAGTCTGAAAGATATTGTTGGATTTCTCCTAAGAAAGCTTTTATATTTCTTTATTCCCGGCTCGTTGTAATTCACGTACCTACTAAGAGTTTTACGCTTTTTATTAAGCTTTATTTCCTTACACAAAAAATCCTATGTTGGCCATTTGAATAACCCAAGAAAATTTTTCTTCCCCCAAAATCACAATATTTTGTTTTAGTGCTGGATGTTTTTGATTTCAACAACAGTTGGAAATTGAAGAAGAAGCATTTTACCACTCACTTTTAATACTCATACTAATAATATGCGCTCTTCGGAGTCCAGTACACTAGTACTTAACCGTACGGACGTTGAAACGTCATCTTCGAAAGTAATTTACAACGTTTCGTCGGAATTACCTGACACTTGACACGCGTATACGCTTATAAGTTGATTTCTTAAATTTAAATTAAACGGTTTTAAAGAAGATCGATAAACAGTTATTTGCAAAACGAGCGTGTCGTATAAGCGAGATGTGATAAGGTGTTACAGTTACGCAGTAAAACAGTAAACATTCCCTTTTGAACAGGACCGGCTCGAGCCCGAATGTCTGCGACTGAATTTTTAATGAAACTAGTCGATGTAACGGGTTATTCATTTATTTCTCGCTAGCATCTTAGCATTAAAAAATCATTTTAACCAGATTTGAAAAAGGACTTTTTGAATTAATACTAACATGGTGATATCACACCTTCACATGTGAAAAATGTTTTGCAAAACATTCGGGGCTTTTCTTTATCGTCTTAAGTTTTAAAAAAGTGTTTTGGATATTTACCATTTAAAAAGAATATCTTCCATTAATTCAGTTCCAATCTACTTTTAGAATATGTAATTGGATTAGACACTTAGATTCTCTGAAAAACATGAAAAAATGGACTTTAAAAATAAATGAATACCAAGGTAGAAAAACAATTAAAGGTCCTTTATATCCTAATAAAAAAATAATAAAATTTTATAATGGTAGAAATAAAATGCATTAAAACTATTGATCAACGTATCTCCTTGCACTTAAGGAGAAAATTATTTAGTATGTTGCCAAATTAAAGTGATAAATACAAAATATTTGAATCTATAATCAAAAAATGGATCTTTTCTAAAGACAGAACGTTCTTATATTACCTAATAAATAATAATTAAAATATTGAACAAAATATAAAAATTCTAATTAATGACAAACATTTTCTGTTTAAGCTGATTATTCTAAGTGTAGACGATTATCCCAGCACTAGATACTTATCTTGATTGTAGATGTTAATCCCGCTTGTAGACACTTATCCTCTTTGTAAATACATAGTATCTAATATTTAATCCAGTTTTGAATTATTATACTATTCAATACTGTTCAATGTTTTGCCGTCTAGTATGTTTTAATTACTCACAAGTTCTATTTGAACAAGTTCTTGTAATATTTTTGTTTCAACTTATAAAAAAAAATATATTTTTGTTATGGTAAATAAATAATTTTATGATTATTTCCCCAATGTTGTATGTACAATTTTTTACGTTTTAGTAGCCGTAGAAAAAATTAGTTATTTGACTATCATTTTGTTTGGTTTCAGGTGGTACTTGTTGGTCGGCCATGGTTCGAAACGGCAACGGGCGTTGCACGGAACTCCTCCACGAGAAGATCACCAAGGAGGATTGCTGCTCCGGGCGCTCTGTCACCACTTCCTGGTCGGCCGACGAACTGGATTCAGGCACCCTCTTCTTCTGGAGAATCTTAGGCGGCGGAGTACGTTGCTCCTCTTGTCGAGGTAAGTCTCACATCATAAACGACACTCATAATTAAACAATTTCGCCTAACTAAACAAAAACAAAGTGAAAATACTTAGATAAAGGAAACAACAGATGAAGCATTTCATTCATAATGTTTGATCCCAATTATTGAAAAAGAGAAAGAAGATATTTTATGTGGATTGAAAGAAGACAGACTGCAATCCTAGATCTCGTCTGGTAATGTTGCTGTTACACGCAACTAAAAGTCTGTCGATACCAGTGGCCTATCTTATTATAAATTTGGAGTAAATACTAATTTTGTGTAAGTTAAATATAAAACAATAAACTTCGTAAAGTTATATAGTAGAGAACACGTGCTTTCTAGGTTATGTCTTTAACACTTATATTTACATGGTAATATACAGTCATCTACTTTGAAATGGAGTGAACAGACTTTAATATTCTGTGTAATATTTTTAATGCTTTCATCCAAGCCACTAACAAATCAATTTTTTCCAATTTTTCAAAGTGATATGCAACACTAACAAAACGTTTCCCAGTTGGTAGAAAATAGTGAAGTATCTTTATGTGCTCGGCTGGTGCATCCAGGAACCGAACAAATCAGTCTGGCCCTTCGTTTAACACAACAACATTTTTATCGTCCATTTTTCACTTTTATTCGCAAAATTCACAGAAATTATGTACGTTGACACTGAGGTATCTGTAAACGCAATATATTCCTAATAAAGTGTCACCTAAAATTAGTTTCATTTCTTACCACTAGACGTCGTACCGTCATCGGACACATCCCAATTATAAATAAATTCATCTTGTTTCAGATTCCTGCAAAGAAGTCGTATGTGATGTAGATAAGACTTGCGTATTAAGAAAGGGTACGCCGAAGTGCGTGTGCGCGTCGAGATGTAAAGAAGGTAAACTCCGATCACTCAAAGGGCCCGTGTGCGGGACAGATGGAAGGAGCTACCGCAATATTTGTAGGTTAAGAAAACAATCATGTCGTCGTAGATCGAATTCATTGACCGTCGCCTACAAAGGCATCTGTCAAAGTAAGTATAAACGACCCTTAAACTACTTATTCTCAAATAGGTACATAATTGGGTAGATTACGTTGTGACGACACGGCAAACTGACAAAATAGACAAGTTGGAAACATTTTTGTTTGAAAGAATAACAATTTTTATCATTTTTATTTGTTGTCTCTTTTTAAGAGGACCTGTTCAGAGTTTTCACTTCCTTTGCACGGGCCTTAACATAAAAATTAAGTTTATGCATTTTAGTAACTCATTTAGTGAAAGTCGTTTCTTTATGTTAACATTTTTTAGGTTCCTGTGATAAAATTGTGTGCCCGGTAAGCAAGCACTGTTTGTTGGATCAAAATTTGACCCCCCATTGCGTAAACTGCATCAGAAAATGTCCGAACACTCCCAAGCGCCGGCAAGTATGCGGAGTCGACGGATTGACGTATCTCAGCGCTTGTCATTTGAGAGAGAAGGCTTGCAGACGAGGCAAAGCCATACCGATCGCGTACAAGGGACCTTGTAGGGGTAAGATACCGCCGTCGCTAACACCGGATTTTGTTCTATGTGATTTTTTGTTTTGTTTTGTAGCTAAAGCGACGTGTAAGAAAGTGAAATGCAAGGATGGCCAGTCGTGTTTGAAGGATTTACATTCAGGGATGCCTCGATGCGTCAGCTGTACGACCAGCTGTAGACCGAGGCACGTCATGAGAGGACCAATATGTGGTACTAACAATAGTACTTACCATACCTGGTGTCACATGATGCAGGACGCTTGCTTCAAGGGTTACGTCATCGATACGATGTATCCTGGAAGATGCAAGGTAAGAGCTCTATGATCAATGTTGCCAATTGTAAAACAGTTTCCTTAGATCTAAAGTCTACCGCTTTACAGTGTCGCCATGTTTAACGCAGTTTCCTTAAATCTAGGGGAAACTGTTGGAAAATGCGTTGCCACTGTTAGCGAAATTTCTAAAAATCTGCGCAAAAATGGTTATTTGTTTTCTTTCTCTGTTTCAGTCCAAAATGACGATGGTATGATTTCGACATACTGTGATTAGTATTTAGTAAAAAATAAACAATGCCAAAGAAATACAACGATCTGGATTTGTACGGTTGAATGAGATAAGAATTGTAATAATTTAAAAATTAAATAGAAATGGTAGCTAATTAAATAATTCCGAACAAGTAGAGACAGTTAAGTATATAAATTATTGTTATTAGTCGATAGAGGCGGAGAAATGCTGAAGAAAAGGGTATTTTTTTTTTTTTTTATTTAACTGACGTTATTTCAAATTAATAAAATATACAGGGTATTTTATTTAAATATTCAAATAAAATAATAGCAAAATTGAACAATACAAATCCCTTTTTTCTTTGGAATTCCACGCCTCTTTTAGATAAGCCCTAGAACTGAAAACTGTTGGTTAGATATCATTAAAACTAAGCAATTCATAAAAAATATAATAATATACTGATATACAGGATGTTGAAGTTGCAAATTTACCAGTTTTCAAATATTTCGTGGTTATTGACAAAGGATTTTGAATATATTTTATTGATATCAAAGATTATTTCCCTCGTCTGTCAACTTTAATATTTTAACCAATCATGCCTGTCTGTATTGTTTTTGTAAATATCGACACTTTGGGAATCTATAATTTCTTGGGGCAGGTTGTTCCAGACTCCGAAGTATCTGTTACTCAGAAAATGTTGTCTCGTTTTTGTTTTGAAGTTTTCTTTCTGTAGTTTTAGCGAATGTTCACGAAGTCGGGAGTCAGTATTTAGAGGATATGATTAAGGTCGCCAAAGTTTTCATTTATTATTCGAAACGACAAAATTAGATCACCGCGGAGATGTCTATGTTGGAATGGTATAAGATTTTCTATTTCTAACCTTTCCTCGTATGATGGATGGTCTAATGCGGTCAAAAGTAAGCCAGGTGGCGTGGCGTTGAATACATTCCAACATTTGTTGGTCGTGTACAAGGTCTGGATACCACACGGATCCTGCGTATTCTAAGATAGGACGGACGTAGCATTTATAAAGTCCGCACAGCGTTTCAAACGACACTTTTGAAAATGTTTTTTGAATTTGGAACAATCTGGAGTTTGCATACATTAGCGATACACCTAGATCGTTGTACGAGGACACTCTATTTAATGCATGCATGTTGATTGAATATGGCAACTCCGGATTATTTTTACCAATATGGAGCACAACACATTTGTTTATATTTAAGGGCAAGAGCCAATCGCAGCACCATGAATAGAGGTTGTTAAGGTCATATATTTGTGTCATCGGTATAAAAATATATTGAGGATGAAACTAGCGCTTTAATGTCGCTTACGTGAGCAGTAAAGAACAAAGGGCCGAGAACCGAATCTTGTGGAACACCACTTTAGACTGGTCTTTCTAAAGAGACCTCGCTATCTAATCTTACTTTAAATGATCTGTCGGTTAGAAAATATAAGATCCAATTATGAAGGTTACCGCGGATGCCTAGATGTTCCAGTTTATAAAGTAGTCGACGTTTTGGGACTCTGTCAAAAGCCTTAAAAAATCTAGATAAATGACATCGATAGGCTTTTTATCGTCAATGGATTGCGTCCAATTATTAATACAATGGAGGAGTTGGTAAAAGTCGATCTTCCTTTAATGAATAAATATGTTAGTATCCGACTAACATATCTCACTAAAACTAGAGTTAATAAAGCTGCTAGCATAAGACATCAAAACAACAAAATAGTGTTGTTTAAAGGTCAATAAATATTTTTTTAAATAATAAAAAAAAATTTGTAGTGTCTTATTAAGAATGGGACACAGAAAAACTGAAGAGTTACCTATAATTTTACCAAATTTGGCAAAAGTATTTGGTGTCATAAGATACGTTACACTTATTTGAACGATAAATTATATATTTTTTGATGTTTTTTAAGTAAATCATATAGGTACTTTTGTTGGGAACTTATAATAGTTTAGGAGCCCACTGCAAAATGTTGGGTCGATCACTAGTATGGCTAAATTTTTATGAAAACTTCGGGTAATATATTGTACAATAGTAATCCGTCGGCAGCCGTCCCAATATCGTTTGCGTTTTAGGTTATAAAAAATTATTAACAATTGAAAATATGTGTCACCCTCCACCCATCGCTTTTTTGCCAAATTTTCTACTTAATCGATAGATAGTAGTTAAATATAATTTTCTATACCCGGCTGCCGACCATCATCCTTTGCGTTAAGGGTGGCTGATGGGGCCGAAAAGTACTATATCGATGTTGCTTTTATACACTCATCGCTTTTATAGTCAAACAAAATACCGTTGGAAAAGTCGCAAAATTTCCAACAAGAAAATACCCGGCTGCCGCGCGAAAGCGTTTGCATAACTTAGGCTGCCGCGATTTTGTGCGCGCGCAACATTTGATCACGTATGAAACGAATATCATTCGAAATGTTTAAAGAAAATAACAACTTTGAACCCAAAATACCGAGATGAACTTAAACTTGAAAATATTAATTTGCAAACAACTGTACGTATTGACTTTTTATGTGATTATAAATCTATCTACTGCATTAAATGCAGATTAAAATGAAACAAATAAAAATTAAGTGGTTGTGGAATTGCCCGTAAGAAAATATTTGTATTTCGAAAGAAATAATTATTTATCAACGCGAACGAAATTATCGAGCAATATGCCCACATAGCACACGGACGTCTTATGGACGTCTAAAAGACGTCCTACAGGGACGTCCTATTTTGGTACCGGGACGTCAATCGGACGACCAATGGACGTCCTAATGTCCCGTTTCCGTCCATCTTAGGGACGTCCCTGGGACATCCCAAAAGGACGTCATAGGGGACATCCTAGGGACGTCCCTGGGACATCCCAAAAGGACGTCATAGGGGACATCCTAGGGACGTAAATCAGACGACCGAGGGACGATGTTTGACCATAATCCATAAAGGGTAATAATAACAAAAATGTTAACATCAAAAGGGCTTTATTTAACAACTTTTATCCTGAAATAACTAGCTACAGTAAAACGTTTTCAGTTTACAAAAAAAAAACAGGAATGAATTAAATTTAACACACAGGGCTGGTAAGATGAAACCTTGGGTCCTACTTATAGCTTGTGTCGATATAACTAAGTTTTATAATTTTGTCAAAATTTATTTTGTTCCAACTTTCCGCCATTAAGGTCTTTTCTTTTCACCACCGGCTACCGCCAATACACATCACTTATTCTTACCTCAACAAAAAACACTCACTTATAACCTCTTAACCACCAACATAAAAAAAATAACAAATAACACTATATTACCTTCTTTTTTTTTTTCGTTAATCTAACTCACTTATATAAGTTAATTATTTAATTCCGAAATTTGTAACTGTTGTTGTTCATTTGAAAATAAATGATAGGTTAGGTTTTCTGTCCTCATACTCTTGCAAAAACAAAATGTTGAATTTCAAGTTATCGATTTAAAGACCAACGATGTTAGTACATAGAAAGTCCCATAGACGTCCCATTAACGTCCTGGACTCGGACCGAAAACTAAACGCTTTGATGAAATGGGACCAAAATAGGACGTCCGTCAAAGGACGTTCCAGTGTTCACGGTAATCGGAAGTCCACTGGACGTCCTATTTAGGTCCGGGACCAACCGGACCAACAAGGGACCAAATCAGGACGTCCATGGGACGTCCTGTGCTATCTGGGTGACAGCGGTGTCCATTCCGATATCAATTACTCAGAAAGCGATTATTCTGAGGAACTTAGTGTATATTCTTAAACTTATTTTTTCACATTTTGTTAACTTTAACGATGTATAATTTTATAAATTGCAAAAAACAGAACAAAATTAAGACATCTCTATTTATTTGCCTCTCTTGCACATTAATTACTTTCTCTGCTTTAGATATTTAGGGACGTTTTAAGTATAACTAAAAATAAAAACAATAAAAAAAAACAACACATAAACTATATATTTATAAAAACAACAGAATAACAAATATTCAAAGAATACATGAAAGCGAGACGCTCTAGCTTTAATCGTAAACTCGCGTGTTCCAATCAGAGACAATAACAGATGTCAAATAAACGTCAGCTGTGCGCACACTCCCAAACTCCTTATCTAAAGCGCGGATTTCATACGTGATCGAATCTTTCGCGCGCACAATATCGCGGCAGCCTAAGTTACGCAAACGCTTTCGCGCGGCAGCCGGGTATTTTCGTGTTGGAAATTTTGCGACTTTTCCAACGGTATTTAGTTTGACTATAAAAGCGATGAGTGTATAAAAGCAACATCGATATAGTACTTTTCAGCCCCATCAGCCACCCTTAACGCAAAGGATGATGGTCGGCAGCCGGGTATAGAAAATTATATTTAATTACTATCTATCGATTAAGTAGAAATTTTGGCAAAAAAGCGATGGGTGGAGAGTGGCACATATTTTCAATTGTTAATAATTTTGGGGCGGCTGCCGACGGATTACTATTGTACAATATATTACCCGACGTTTTTATGAAAATTTAGCCATACTAGTGATCGACCCAACATTTTGCAGTGGGCTCCTAAACTATAAGAAACTTCAAAATTAAAATGAAGAATATTCGCATTCTAAGCATAGTCTTATTTTTAATCAGACTCTTCAGTTGTTCTGTATCCCTTTCTCAATGAGACACCTTGTATATAAACTTCCCACTTGAACAATTTTATATTTTTCAAGTATGTACAATACAGGTGTATCAGAAATTAAAGCAGAGAGACAACTTATAACAAAGGTTTAAATTTAGTAATGTCAAGTCATCCTTGCACCCTAAAAAAGTACCAATGAAGAAATTATTCCTCCAATGCAACCGAACAGTTATTTTTAGGATAAGATTTTGTGTCAAATGTTATCCACGGCCACAGGGTTTCTTTTTAAATGGCATGACATTCAAAATTTTGGTCAAAACAATTTTCATCATGCACTTTTCTTGGAAATTCACAATGCTTTATTAGGATTAAAAACACCAGTTTCTAGAAACTTTTTCACTATAACACTAACATTACTGATCAGAAAAAGTGGTTAAAGTTTTCTTTTTGTAATCACAAATCGCAACTGAATGCCTATTTTTAAAATAAATTATCTCTATAATTCCATTTGTATAGTTGTATGCTGTGCATCTGTGAGATTGTTGTTTATTATACATAGTTACCAATTATAGAAATCTTTAGTAAGTACTTGCTTGCAATTTTAGTAATATATGTACCTACCCTATATAATTAATTATTTCAAACATAAATAAAACCAACAACTATTATCTGAGTCTTTTTAGTTCCGATTGGTTTTGACAGAGTAGTTTTGATCATGGTTTTCTTCCATCTACTTTTAACCATAAAGTCATACCTAGCTGAATTTTTGGTCTTTTTAAACTTTTGACTGTAGCGGGTCATATTTTTAATGTATGTCATCTGCAGCAGAAAGACCTACATGTTTTACATTTAAAAGTAATTAATTGTCCTTTCTACAAACTCGGCTGTATTTTTACTGAAATATATTTATTCACAATTCACGTAGTGGTTTGGTTTTTGGTTTGGTAATTTGATGTCATAATTCTCCTCATTGTCAGATTTTGACATTGGCAGCTTTGATCAAGACAAGAGAGTCCTTGAACGAAAAATCGTAGTTCGGGTTTTAGTTTTAAAAGAGATTAACAAATCTGATGCACAGTGTTATTCGAACGTTGATCTTCGATCACACAGGTCATATATCGGACGGTTTCGGCGAAGACAGAACAATATAATAATATTAATCTCTTTTATGGTCTTAGCATTGACTTGGTCGGAAAACGGTTAATGAATAATAGTAAATAGTGTAGAAGTCATAATTGCGCAATGTCATCAAATTAATTACGAATCGATCATGTTGAAACAAATCTTAGGTAAGTAAGTCATTTAAAAGTTGTTATTCTGCATACGGACTTTAATTATATTTGAATACGACCCTGCTTAGTCAACCATTTAAGCCACGCCCAGTGAGGTAATTTTTAATAAAACGTATCACATGCAAAACAATTGCCTCATGGCATCTCTATTAGTATTATACCTCCATGGTAGTGCATCTGCTTCAACCGTTGCATACGTCACTAATGACACTGTGACCAGTGACAGTTGTTACCAACTTAGCAGTAGTTACCAACTTAACTAGATAAAGGTAGCTTCACATAAGCTAAATTGCGTGTAGTGATAATATGGAGTGGTTCATCGTTTGGTGGCTCGATGGTGTAGGCATTGGAGAAAGAGACAGCGATAA